TTGATTAATTTATACACACCGATATCGCATTTGTAAATATTAATTTTTATTACTTTTGTTGTAAGGAACTAGAGGTGTAAATTAAGTTTTGTTTATTTATTTCTATTTTAGATGTAGACTTTATGTGTATAAGAACATTTGTATTAAGTGTAAACGATCATATGCTCATGATATTTTATACCTATTTAACGAGAATATATGTTCGCGTCTTAAATACTACGTTTTTTATTTCTGCAGTCCTGTCCTGAATTTTTTTTAAGTGAATTCGATTAGCTTAAGAGATGAAATGAAATACAATTGTGCGATATTAGTTTAATTAGGTAATTTAGTGCGTGCTAATGACTAAGTATTGCCGATATCTACGGTTTCCAAGCGGGCTTCGTCAATAGTGCTTTTTCAACAGCTTTACGTTTATTTGCGTTGCGGCTGCGAAAACTTCCAGTTCTTGAAGTTGAGGCTGATCCATTGTGCTGCACACGTTTGTCGACAATTCGTATCTGACTCCATTGATTGATAAGTTCTTGAAGCTGTTCCTTTGTGTAATTCTGTCTTTCTAGCAGACTGAGAGAGTGTCCTCGGTACGGGTGATCGACGAAAAAAAAGTTTCTTGTCATAGTGGAGATTATTAACGGCTGATGAAAGAATGTCGATCTTATGCTGATTAGGGTGATAATGTTTTCTTTGGCTCCACATTCTTCGATATTTCTCTTGAGGGCTTTCAGCAAATCCGCAGTCGAATCTAAAAAAATAGTTTACAGCTTGATTTTTTTTGAAGGTTTTCGGGCGGTTTAGTGCTCGTTATTTACACTCCTAGTAAAGCCACGATTTCTGTTTAAATCGTATATTACATTATTATAAATATTTTGGAAACTATATGCAATATAAAAGAATGATGACGACTAGTTGTGGCGAGAAAAACTGGCCTGTTCTCCAGGGGTAGTTGGAACCGATCTTTTCCTCCACGATCCTTCCCGCACAATATCCCATAAACGTTTTTGCTGCGCTTCGCCTTTTCGCTCTTCTGATTTTTTCGCTAATTGCGATTTTATCTTTTCAATCTCGCTCTTCGTCCATGCTTGACTCTTTCGAATGTTTAAGTGGCTACCGCGATATAAGTGCAATTTCAAATAGAAATTTCTCGTCATTGTCGATATTCGTAAGGGTTGATAGTTGCATTGAAACCCCAGACTGATTAGGGTGATTATGTTCTCCTGTTCTCCGTACTCTTTCACATTGGCGCTGAATTGCCTCAACAGATCTGCTTTTCCTACGAGAAGCCAAGTTATAATGCACGATTTTTTTTAAACCCGCATTTTAAAGATTATTAAGTGCGTAATCATCAGTGTTTTTTAATATACTTACTTATTGGCTTTCTCTACTCTTGTTCACCATAACTTGAGAGAAAGATGCATCTTTTGAACAATGTTTTAAAATTTTGGGGTGCCAATCAAACCGCCGGTGGCGAGAAGTGAGCTGGCGGCCTTAAAGGTTTCAAATGGGAATATTGCATCCAAAGAACGTTGGATTAGTTTAGGTTGTTCTGTATCTTTCAGGTGATTTTTTTGCAAACTGGCCCAAAAAAGCTCAATTTTGCGTCGCTTTATCGGTAATGATTTTAAGCCGGAACACTTTTGTAATGTGAAAATAGGATACAATTTACATCCGAAAATCCTACCCATCTAACCCCAACTAAACCTACCATCGTCATATTTGTGATAAATAATGAGCATGTCTGCTTCAGAGGGGGTTTCATATCCAGCGAGCCATTTTAGTTCCCTAGCGGTGCTATCTGATTGCAATGATCGTCCTTTCTAAAAATACCAGTAGCAATGACTAATGTTTCCAGGAAACAGTGATTGCAATAAAGATACGTAAAATTATACTTTACTTGATTTTCTAGCTGGAAGATGAAAACCTTCGGCTTGTTCTTCAGCTTGGGGCAGTGTTTTGAGGTAAATTGACCCCAAATCTCTTTCATTTCGACGACCTGAAGATCGATTTTGGCGAAAAGCAGCAAAATCCCATCGTACTCTTTGTCATTTACGCTCTTCTGTACTGGAAAACCAATATTATCTTTAATGCATTTCCTTCGGTACTTTTCAATCATATTCAAATTCATTTTCCAGCTCTAAACTTTTTCAAGTGCCGTTTGTTAAACTTACTTAAAAAAGAAACTCACCTCTCGTTATCCACTGGGGCTCAAAGAGCTGTGTGTCTGAAGCGGTCCTTATTACAGAAAATTTTAACTCCTCAAGGCAGTTCAGTAATCCAACGGCACTTTGGTCATTGTTGCTGAAGAAGGCTTCAACGTAAAAGTTTCCATTTCCGTCTCGAGGGTATTCGTCCGGAATCAAATCTATTGGTGGTTTAATTTCTATATCGCCCACAGGTAAAGATGGAATAGGAATTGTAGACATTTTTAAATTAGGTCTAGACCAACAGATGAAAATTTCGCGATTGGTTCCAGTGCCTTTGTCTCAACATGTTTTGTGGCTGATATCAAAGTAATTATCAATTGTCGATTGCATCTATTTTTTGCCATGTATGATAAGATAAGAGCGAAATTGCTCATTGGCTTTTATGTGAATTACCAGATATTTAAATTGTGTAAAAACTTTCAAGGCTGTAAATTGCAGCTCAACCAACTAAGCCTAATTCACCTTAAAATGGTGATACGATTAAATAAGCGATTCATACTTTTAAACTAAAATCGCGAAAATATATTTAGATTAAACATTGACGTACATTGTTTTTCACAATCTTGAGGAGTCAAAATAGAACTATTCTCAATTTATTGTAATAAATTGCTCATCAAAATCAACGTTAAACTCACAAATTTGGACCAACTTTGGAACTCGATAAGTTCTGACTGCTTAAAGCGAATTGATCTTTTTTTGAAGCCTTATTTAGTGCAATTCTTCTGCCGTTAGTGCGAGGTTTTGCAAAAATTTAGTGTGTCAGATAAAGTTTCCACAGAGTGGCAAATCAAACAATGCAAAATTAGTGAAATTTGCATTAAAATTTTGGTCTTGCAGGCATAATTTTTTTTTCCTTGAACGGATTTTCAAAACCTACGGCTCATATTGAAGCTGAAACTTCACAGTCGAACTGAAAGTAAAGATTCAATATAGCCACTGTTGCATGAGTGAACAAAATCTTTTAAAGTAAACTTCACTTGCTCGAAAATTTTCCAGAATCACAGATATCGCAGGGACAATTCTGATTTGATTTTTTGGGCAACCCTGTATATATGGAATTTGGGTTTTAAGTGTTATTTGAAATTTAGCCTTCAACATGAGCTCTAGATCGTGACAATCGGACCAAGAGCAGAAAGGTAAGCGCGGCAAGACAAAAAGTTGATTTTTTGAGACCACTCTGTAAATAGAAAACATGGGCGGAAATTTTGAAAACTGTTTCGAGCGATTTGGGTTTACTGCAAACTTTTGCTGTGGGGATCCAAAAAATGTTATTCTCTATCCAACTAGGAGCATGGCAACTTTGCACAATTTTGCATTTTTTTACTTGCCGCCCTGTAGAAAATTTGGGCTCAACAACGCTTCAATCAGAAAGCAAATCGCTTGCAGCAATGATAATTTATCCAGTTCCAAAGTTAGGGCAAATTTGGCTTGACAACGTTCATTTCGAGCGATAAGTGGTTTAATAGCAAAACCTGACAAACATAAGCAAACAATCTTTTTTCCAAGAAAACCAGGCAAAGTGGGAAAAACTAGCGAAATACCTTATTTAAATGCATGCCTTTTTATTTACTTAAATTAATCCTTCAAGATAAGGTAAAATCCCCTTGAGGAGCTTTGATAAACATATCGTTAAACAAAGGAAACATGTAATCTGTAGCGTTTCCTAAAAAGTTTAAACTGGCACACGCAAGAACAATTAATGTTAAAGCCATTAAAGATAATATACGTTCCTGAGACAGTAAAGCCAATACAAGCGACTAAAGGTTTTATAGGCGAAGAAGAGCCTCAACTGATCAATGCGGAGGAATCCAAGCGTTTAAAACTGGAAAATGGGTCAAAAATGTGACCGATTGTAATTGCTGGAAAGTTTTCCAAGGGAGGGAGTCGATTTTTTGTAAAAATTAAAATATTCTCAAAATGTCTTAAATTTTACATAATTTTCAGCTCGCGGAAGCGAGGAATGCATCGAACTCATTAAAAATCATGTTAGAAGTTTCAGATCCGAAATAATAGACATTTCTGGCACATTTTAAGAGTTTTTTGAGCGTCCATGGTCTTTAGCCGACGATTTCTTTCCTATTATTGACCCAAATACTTTATTTGCATATTTGTGACCTTCTTACGTGGAAATGAATCGATTGAGCTCAAAAAACCCGCATCCAAAGATTGAAGTAAATAAATTAGCATTTAATCGTACGTTTGTTTTATAATTGATTCATTTATACACACCGACATCGCATTTGTAAATATTAATTTTTATTACTTTTGTTGTAAGGACCTAGAGGTGTAAATTATTGTAAGGTTTTTGGGCGGTTTAGTGCTCGTTATTTACACTTCTAGTAAAGGCACGATTTCTGTTTAAATGGTGTATTACATTATTATAAACATTTTGAAAATTATATGCAATATAAAACAATGATGAAGACTAGTTTTGGCGAGAAATCCTGTCCTGTTCTCCAGGGGTAGTTGGACCCGATCTTTTTCTCCACGATCTTTCCTGCTCAATATCCCATAAATGTTTTGGATGCGCTTCGCCCTTTCGCTCTTCTGATTTTTTCGCTAATTGCTATTTCACTATTGTTTAAGTGGCTACCGCGATATAAGTGCAATTCGAAATAGAATTACTTCGTCATTGTCGATATTAGTGTGAGTTGATAGTTGCGTTGAAACTCGAGACTGTTTGTGCTCTTCTGTTCTACGAGCTCTTTCATTCTGACGCTCAATTGCCTGAACAGATCTACTGTTCCTACGAGAAGCCAAGTTATAATGCTAGGTTGATAAAAACAGAGCAATTTAAAGATTATTGAGTTAAAATTTCAATATACTTCTCTTTGAGAGGAAGATGGGTATTTTAAACAATGTTCAGAAATTTTGGGGTGCCAATTAAATCGCCATTGTCGGAAAGTGAGTTAACGGTCCTAAATATTTCAATTTAAAGATTATTAAGTGCGTAATCATCAGTGTTTTTCAATATACTTACTTATTGGCTTTCTCTACTCTTGTTCACGATAACTTGAGAGAAAGATGGATCTTTTGAACAATGGTTTAAAATTTTGGGGTGCCAATCAAACCGCCGGTGGCGGAAAGTGAGCTGGCGGCCTTAAAGGTTTCAAATGGGAATTTTACATCCAAAGAAACGTTGGATTAGTTTACGTTGTTCTGTATCTTTCAGGTGATTTTTTTGCAAACTGGCCCAGAAAAGCTCAATTTTGTGTCGCTTCATCGGTAATGATTTTAAGCCGGAACACTTTTGTAATGTGAAAATAGGATGTAATTTACATCCGAAAATCCTATCCAGCTAACTCCAACTAAACCTACCATCCTCATATTTGTCATGAATAATGAACATCTCTGCTTCATTTGGGATATCATATCCAGCTAGCCATTTTAGTTCCCTATCTGATCGCACTGATCGTCCTTTCTAAAAATACCAGTAGCAATGACTAATGTTTCCAGTAAACAGTGGCTGCAATAATGATACGTAAAATTATACTTTACTTGACTACCTGGAAGATGAAAATCTTCGGCTTGTTCTTCAGCTCGGGGCAGTGTTTTGAGGTAAATTGATCCAAAATCTTATTTATGTCGACGACCTGAAGATCGATTTTGGCGAAAAGCAGCAAAATTCCATCGTACTTTTTGCCATTTACGCTTTTCTGTACTGGAAAAACAATATTATCTTTAATGAATTTCCTTCGGTACTTTTCAATCATATTCAAATTCATTTTCCAGCTTTAAACTTTTTCAAGTGCTGTTTGTTAAATTTACTTAAAAAAGAAACTCACCTCTCGTTATCCACTGCGGTTCAAAGAGCTGTGTGTCTGAAGCGGTTCTTATTACAGAAAATTTTAACTCCTCAAGGCAGTTCAGGAATCCAACGGCATTTTGGTCATTGTTGCTGAAAAAGGCTTCAACGTAAAAGTTTTCATTTCTCTTTCGAGTGTATTCGTCCGGAATCAAATCTATTGGTGGTTTAATTTCTATGTCGCCCACAGATGAAGATGGAATAGGAATTGTACGCATTTTCAAATTGGATCTAGACCAACAGATGAAAATTTAGCGACTGGTTCCAGTGCCTTTGTCTCAACATGTTTTATGGCTGATATCAAAGTAATTATCATTCCTCGATTGCATCTATTTTTTGCCATGTATGATAGATGAAGATAAGAGCGAAATTGCTCATTGGCTTTTATATGAACTACCAGATATTTAAATTGTGTAAAAACTATGACCTTCAAGGCTATAAATTGCAGCTCAACCAACTAAGCCTAATTCACCTTAAGAATGGCGATACGATTAAATAAGCAAGCGATTCATGCTTTGAAACTAAGATCGCGAAAATACATTTAGATTAAACATTGACGTACATTGTTTTTCACAATCTTGAGGAGTCAAAATAGAATTATTCTCAATTTATTGTAATAAATTGCTCAACAAAATCAACGTTAAACTCAGAAATTTGGACCAACTTTGGAACTCGATAAGTTCTGACACAGATATCGCAGGGACAATTCTGATTTGATTTTTTGGGCAACCCTGTATATATGGAATTTGGGTTTTAAGTGTTATTTGAAATTTAGCCTTCAACATGAGCTCTAGATCGTGACAATCGGACCAAGAGCAGAAAGGTAATCGCGGCAAGACCAAAAAGTTGATTTTTTGAGACCACTCTGTAAAGAGAAAACATGGGCGAAAATTATGAAAACTGTTTCGAGCTATTTGGATTTTCTTCAAACTTTTGCTGTCGAGATCCAAAAAATGTTATTCTCTATCCAACTAGGAGCATGGCAACTTTGCACAAATTTGCATTTTTTTACTTGCCGCCCTGTAGAAAATTTGGGCTCAACAACGCTTCAATCAGAAAGCAAATCGCTTGCAGCGATGATAATTCATCCAGTTCCAAAGTTACGGCAAATTTGGCTTGACAACCCGTAAAAACCCGATAAACATAAGCCAACAATCTTTTTTCCAAGAAAACCTGGCAGTGGAAAACCTTATTTAAATGCATGATTTTTTATTTACTTAAATTAATCCTTCAAGATAAGGTAAAATCCCCTTGAGGAGCTTTGATAAACATATCGTTAAACAAAGGAAACATCCAATCTGGAGCGTTTCCTGGCAAACGCAAGAACAATTAATGTTAAAGCCATTAAATATAATATACGTTCCTGAGACACTAAAGTCAATACAAGCGGCTAAAGGTTTTATAGGCGAAGAACAGCCTCAACTGATCAATGCGAAGGAATCCAAGCGTTTAAAACTGGAAAATGGGTCTAAAATGTGACCGATTGTAATTGCTGGAAAGTTTTCCAAGGGTGGAAGTCGATTTTTTGTAAAAATTAAAATATTCTCGAAATGTCTTAAATTTTACATCATTTTCAGCTCACGGAAGCGAGGAATGCATCAAACTAATTGAAAATCATGCTAGAAGTTTCAGATCCCAAATAATAGCCATTTTCGGCACATTTTAAGAGTTTTTTGAGTGTTCACGGTCTTTAGCCGACGATTTCTTTCTTATTATTAACTCAAACACTTTATAAATGCATATTTCTGAGCTTCTTGTGGAGAAAGGAATCGATTGAGGTCAAAAAACCCACATGTAAAGTTTTGATTTTTGGTCGAAATTTTTCCAAGTATGAGGGTCGAATTTTTGAAAAAATAAAAATTTTGTCAAAATGTCTTAAATTTTTCATCATGATCAGCTCACTAAAGCGAGAAATGCATTGAACTAATTGAAAACATGATAGAAGGTTCAGATCCGAAATAGTTATTTCGGATCTGAATACATTCAGAGCCCATTTCGTTCCAAACTGTTGCAAATACAAATTTTCTTATAGACAGTGAATGTGTCGAAAATACATTTTGCAACCAATCTGATGTTCTGTTTTGAAAATGAGTTAATGGCGGTAAAATTCAAAGTATTTTATTCGGAAAATCGTCTTTTCGACCTTAACCGACTGCAATTTTTTGAGATGCAGTTCTCATGGAAAATCGTCCGTTTTTCCACAAATTGCAAAATTTTCAAATTGGCCCGATATTAACAGTTACGCAGAAAATTTCCTCACGCAAAAAGCTGTTTATCCAAAAGAAAATCGACCTTAACTCCACAAAGAAAACATTTGTCTTGAAAAATCGTCTTTTCGACCATCAAACTCTTACGACGTTGAAAATTCTCAACTGATTTCAAGTTTGCAAAATACAATTTTTAGACCAAACCACTCGTTTTAGAACGAATTTTCAGTGATCCAAATCGAGCCCGTATTAAGAGACTTATTAATTTATTCATACTGAACTGCAATCCGAAGTCTGTCATGGACACACAGAGCGGCATGAACACACAAGTGTCTTAAGACACAGTTTTACCCAGCCCTATTTTAAACAGCTGAAATTAACACCAGTGTTTTATATGATCTTTACTACCCTCTTAGTCAGTTTTATTTCCAAATTTCTTGCAACACTCAGCCACTGATTGATCACCTGGATAGTCTAGAATATACCATCGACTGCCGGGGAAAAAGAAGACAAAAAGGAAAATCTGGCTTCTTACAACAGCAACGTTTTAGTACCGATGGGAGAATGTGGATCTTGTGCCGGGTAGGGTGATAACGATTTTTTCGCTCCACATTCTTCGCTAGATTCCTTGGATGAATCAGGAAGCAAATAACTCGCTGCCTATTTTTTAAAAGTTTTATGGGGGGTTCAGTGCTCGTTTTTACACTCCTAATAAAGCCACTGAATTTCTGTAGGTATAAATCGTATATTTTATCCACTAGCTGTGGTGATTTCTTTGGCGAGAAGAACCAGCCTGAACTCCAAGGATATGTAGACCCAATCTGTCCCTTATAGCCTTCTTTTGTAACAATATTTTCTGTAGAAGGCACTTTGGCTCGTCTGATTTTTCAGATAGTTACTGTAAATTCTGCGATTTCAGCTTTTCAATCTCCTTCATGATCCACTTCTGACTCTTCCGAATGTTTAAATGGTTTCCGCGATATGAGTGGAATTGGAAAAAGAAACTCTTTGTCATTGTCGATATTAGTAAGGGTTGATAGTTGCATTGAAACCCGAGACTGATTAGGGTGATTATGTTCTCCTGTTCTCCGTACTCTTTCACATTGGCGCTCAATTGCCTCAACAGATCGGTTTTGCCTACGAAAAGCCAAATTAGAATGCAAAGTTGACAAAAACAGAGCAATTTAAAGGTTATTGAGTAATAATTTCAATATTCTTCCCTCTGAGAGGAAGATGGGGTGCCAATTAAATCGCCATTGTCGGAAAGTGAGCTAACGGCCCTAAAGATTACAAATGGAAATTTGAATAATTTGAATTCGAAAAACGTGAGAATAGTTTAGATTGTTCTGTATTTTTTTCCAAAAAGCTCAATTTTGCGTCGTTTATTCCGTAATGATTTTATGCCCGAACACTTTTGTAAAATGAAAATAGCATGTAATTTACATCAGAAAATCCTAACCATTCGACCCCAACTAAACCTACCATCGTCATATTTGTCATGAATAATGAGTATGTCTGCTTCAGATGGGGTCTCATATGCGGCTGGCCATTTTAGTTTCCTAGCGGTGCTATCTGATTGCACTGATCTTCCTTTCTAAGAATATTAGTAGCAGTGACTAATTGTTCCACTAAACAGTGCAATAAAGATACGGAAAATGATACTTTACTTGACTTTCCACCTGGAAGATGAAAATCTTGGGCTTGTTCTTCAGCTTGGGGCAGTATTTTGCGGTAAATTGACTCCAAATATTTTTCATTTCTTGCAACTCAAGATGCATTTTGGCGAACAGAAGCAGAATCCCATCGTACTCTTTGTCGTTTACGGTTTTCTGTACTGGAAAACGTATTGCCTTTCATGCTTTTGCTTCAAACTCTTTTTCTAGCTTCTAAACTTACCTCTCGTTATCCACTCGGGATCAAAGACTGGGTTATCTAAAGCGGTTCTTTTGACAGGAAAATTCAACTCTTCAAGAGAGTGCAACAATTCAATGGCACTTTCGTCATTGTCGCTGAAAAAGGCTTCAACGTAAAAGTTAAAATTTCCGTTTCTCGTGTATTCATCCGGAATCAAATCTATTGGTGGTTTAATCTCGATATCGTCGTCCACCATTGAGGATGACGGCAGATAAATTGAAGATGAAGGAACGTAAAATGTGGACATTTTCACATTGGGTGCACAACAGATGAAGGTTTTGCGACTGATTCCAGTCTCTTTGTTTCATCATGTTTAGTGCCTGATATCAAATTTTAAAAAAATCGTTGAAAACATCTACTTAAATTTTTCGCCCTGTGTGATAAGATAAGAGCAAGTTGATTGAAAGTGGTACAATCTTTAGGTTTTTTGTCATCGCTTGTTGAATTGATGTGAAGTACCAAATATTTGAATAAATAAAACTATGAAATTCAAGGTTTCATCAGGAGATAATGAATGATCATTTTAATTGGAAGTTTTCTACATAATTCGAATCTTTTTACCTTAACAATAGCCATACGCGATTCAAATGTATTAAACATTGACGCACAAGGCTTTTCACAAACATGAGGAGCAAATAAAGAAAATTTTCTTAGTTTTATAGACGTTTCATAGAAATTAACTGCTCAACAAAATCAACGTTACATTGGCAAATTTGGACTAACTTTGAAACTGGATAAATTYTGCCTGCTTAGATTCAGTTGAGTTATGTTTGAGGGGTTATTTAGTGCAAGTCTTTGTCAGTTAGTGCGTGATTTTGCAGAAAAATTGTGCGTCCGMTAAAGTTTCTACAGGGTGGCAAATGAAACAATGCAAAATTGGTGAAAGTTCTGCATGTTCTCAGTTGGMCMAAAAAACTTTAGTTTTGTGCAAYTAGGAACAAATGGGGCTAAAKGAGGCTTCAAAGAGAAACCRAAATSGGTTGAAGCAATCAGAATTTATCCAGCTCRAAAGTGATGTTTGGATTACATCGGATTTTCTCAAAAAAATCCAGGCCCAGTCGGAAAAACTAACAAAAACTTTATTTTAATGCATGCCATTTTATCCAGGTATAGATACGTTAAAGAGGCTTGCACTCAGGGAAAGCTTAAGTGGATATCAATTTGTTATGGTTTATTATTAGCTGAAAATCCACTTGAAAAGATTCGATAAACGCTCGAATCGTTAAACAAATCAAACATCTAATCAGTAGCGTTTCGTAAAAAGTTTAAGCTGGCAAACGCAAGATCAAGTAAATGGGCAAATTTTTAATTAATTCCAATGAAAATTAGTGAAAAGTCATTAATGTTAAAGAATTCGATATAATTAATGGAAATTTCAGTTGAGTTGAGACCGAAGCAATACAGACGACTAAACGCTTCATAGACGAAGAGGAGCGTCAACTCACCAATGCGGAATAATCCAGGCGTTGAAAGCTGGAAAATGGTTCAAAAAACTGTGGCTATTTTTAGTTGTTTTTTTAAATTAAATCCTCTGCACGATAGAAACTTTTTCTTAGTAAATGCTGAGTAAAAATTGAATAAATCCAGAATCCTCATTATCTTAGCTCCGCCTTTGAAGATTTTCAAGTGTTTTCCTTATCTTAAACTCAACTCTAAATTAAAGTCGATTTTTTCCTGCATTCTGCTGACGCAAATGGGCTTACTAAAGGTGCTAGTTTCGTCCTTGCTATTTTTTTCCGTGCAATCTGTCCCGGTTTCTCTTCTGGACAAGGAAATCAATTGTGGATACCAGGTAGGCCCAATATGTTCCTCGCCACCTCACTCCTAGTCTATTTCTCCTATTTTCGCCTAATTCGCCGCCTTTTAAGGCATGTGCTCCTATAAAAGACGAACACATAAACGTCCATCTGGTAGCCCACAGTCACGACGACGTTGGCTGGGTTAAAACAGTTGACCAATACTACTATGGAGGTAACATGGTCACCTGAAAAAGACAGTTTGAGAATAAACCTCCTCAATTTCAGTGCAAGTTGGAACGTATGTGGGAGCGGTGCAATACATCTACCAATCAGTGCTGGATTCACTCAAAAGAAGCAAAGATAGAAGGTAGAGAGTGGATTTTTCCAAATCCAGTTCACTTTTCCTCGCATTTTTTTGAAGGTTCATTGTGGTTGAAACTGCATACTTTTGGAAGTGGTGGAAGTTGCAAAGCGACCAAACACGCGCAGAGTTTACGCAGTTGGTAATGGACGGACAAATTGAGTTTACTGGAGGCGGATGGTCGATGAACGATGAAGCTGTTACCCACTACCAATCGACAATTGATCAAATGACTTGGGGCTTGAGGTAAATCGCTTTGAGGAAACTGGGCTGTTTTGAGGATAAACTGGTTGTTCAGGATACTGAATGAGACGTTCGGAGACTGTGGGCATCCTAAAGCGGGCTGGCAAATCGACCCATTCGGGCACAGCAGCGAAATGGCTTCGATCTTCAGCCAGATGGGCTACGATGGGCTGGTTTTAGGCAGAATCGATTTCCAGGACAAGATTAGCAGAAAGGCCAACAGCAGTTTGGATTTTGTCTGGCGAGGCAGCGCGAGTTTAGGCAAGAACTTTCCACACTTTGCACTGCTAAGATTAACACTCCCTGATTCCTCCAGGTGAAGAGGCCGACATCTACACCAGTGTTTTATATGATCTTTACGACGCTCCAAGTCAGTTTTGCTTCGAAATGTCTTGCAACACGCAGCCACTGATTGATGACCTGGATAGTGCAGAATATAACATGGATTCCCGGGTAAGATTAGATGACGGAAAGGAAGAAGTTGGTTCTTATGAGTTGTTCCAGGCAAGACTGTTTGTGGACAGTTTTGTTAACGTCGCCGCGAAATCGTACTCAACCAGCAACGTGTTGGTGCCGATGGGCCAAGACTTCGCTTACCAAAATGCGGAAATGTGGTTCATGAATATGGACAAACTAATTAAGTAAGCTGTTGATAGTGTTTTATTTTCTTTGTGGCCCAACCTGATTCTGTATAGATACTTGAATGAAAATGAAGTCGATGGCCAAAAATTCAACGTAATGTATTCCACTCCGGCTTGCTACATTTACGCCGTCCACAACGAATCCAAAGGAGTAATAAGCAACGATCTGAAAACCGACGACTTTTTCCCTTATGCGTCTGCCGAGTATGCTTATTGGACGGGCTTTTATACATCCAGGCCGCAACTGAAGCGCTTCGAGAGGACAGGAAATAATTACCTTCAAGTACGTGGAAAGTGTGCAGAAGTAACACCAAGGGCGGATCCGGATTACGACTGAATTGACTTTTCCATTCTCTATCCAACGATGCCAAAACGAATTCTGTGGCTCGAATGGTGCTTGAGAAACTTCGAAAAAAGCAGCGTCATGTTCAAGTGGATTTTGCAACTCAAAAAAAAACCACGCAAATCTAAAACTTCTTGAATTCAAGCTTTTTTTGAGAAAACTGCCAATATTTTCTAATCGATGGTTCACTTTCTAAAAAGGCCATTTATTTCTCTCTAGAATGATGTACAAATGAGCGTTCTTGCTCATTTTGCCTCCGAGATATGAGCAAAAA